TTTGTATAGAAATACAAAGGACATACAAAGAGTTTGGTATTGGAGTAAAAAAAAAAGACGTATAAAAATAAAATGGAAATACAACCTAGAGATAAAACCCATACACAATTGGTAAGTTGATATATATTTTTCCTTTTAATAATAAAAGTTTTTAGGCCAGCGCCGCGGCTCAATAGGCTAATCCTCCGCCTTGCGGCGCCGGCACACTGGGTTCTAGTCCCAGTCGGGGCGCCGGATTCTGTCCTGGTTGCCCCTCTTCCAGGCCAGCTCTCTGCTGTGGCCAGGGAGTGCAGTGGAGGATGGCCCAAGTGCTTGGGCCCTGCACCCCATGGGAGACCAGGATAAGTACCTGGCTCCTGCCATTGGATCCATTGGATCAGTGCGGTGCGCTGGCCGCCGTGCGCCGGCCACGGCGGCCATTGGAGGGTGAACCAACGGCAAAGGAAGACCTTTCTCTCTGTCTCTCTCTCACTATCCACTCTTCCTGTAAAAAAAAAAAAAAATAATAATAATAATAAAAGTTTTTAGTTCACTGTAACCAAAATACAAATATACATGGATGTCAAAATTTTTTTCAATGTAAAGTTATTTTTCAATTTAATTTTCATGAACTTTTTGAGGTACCCTCGTACTATCATTTTCGCATATAAACACCATGAGCAATATTGATGTCATATTATATTTTCTTCTTTTTGGTACTAAATCTTTGATATATATGATTTTTTAAGAGAAACCAGAGTATGATAAGAAATCCTTGAACTCCAATGTGTTTCATACTTTTAAACACATGTCAATTCAAACTAGACATATTTCAAATGCTGCATAGCCTGTTGACATTAGTCTTGTATTGAACTGTACAGACCTAGACTATGAAGGACTCAAAAGCTTCATTAAGGTGTTTGAACTATGCCCTATAAATATTTGATAATATGTACAGGGCATTCATTTGATGAATGCCAAAATTGTATTTTTTCTATAAGTTATTGAGGATGTGGATATCTAGCTAAAGACTTTTCCAAGACAGCTGGGAATGTTTGAAGTCTGCTTTTGACTAGTCACTTCTCATCAAGAGGTTCTTTAAGAAGGAAAGTCACACTTAATGACTAAATGAGATTTTTGTCCCAACCACCACAGAGAGCGCCAGAGAATTAGGTTAGACCTTTGGAGAATGCCATTACTAAAGTCAAGTGGCCTCAAAGGCTAATTTAGCTTACTTCTTCACCAAAGCCCAAACTTGAGTCTTCCTATTCCACAGTGAGAGGACAGAGCACATAAATTAATGAGAGTTGAAGGAGAAGACCCTGTTGAAGGGGTCAGTATTTCAGGGGATGAGTGAGCAATTTTTTTTTTAAATTATTTATTTATTTATTTGAAAGTCAGAGTTACACAGAAAGAGGAGAGGCAGAGAGAGAGCGCGCGCGAAAGAGCGAGCACTCAAGCGAGAGAGAGAGAGAGAGGTCTTCCATCCAATGGTTCACTCCCCAATTGACCGCAATGGCCAGAGTTGCCCTGATCCAAAGCAAAGAGCCAGGAGCTTTTTCTGGGTCTCCCATGTGGGTGCAGGGGCCCTAGGACTTGGGCCATCTCCTACTGCTTTCTTGGGCCATAGCAGGGAGCTGGATCAGAAGTGGAGCAGCCGGGTCTCGAACCAGCACCCATATGGGATGCTGGCACTTCAGGCCAGGGTGCTAACCCACTGCGCCACAGAGCCAGCCCTGAGGAGTTAGGTATTTTCAAGCTACTGTCAGGCCCCAAGTCTTCTTGGAGAAAATTTCTTGCAAGGATTGGTACCTTAAGTGAGAGCATATCAGATCCCTCACATTTTTTTTTAAAGATTTACTTTATTTATTTGAAAAGCAGAGTTAAAGAGAGAAAAGGAGACAGAGAGAGCGAGAGCGAGAGAGAGATAGAGAAAAACATAATTCCATTAGCTGGTTCATTCCCTAAATGGCCACAATGGCTGGGTCTGAGCCAGGCCAAAGCTGGGAGTCTGGAACTCCATCCTGGTCTCCCAATGGCAGGGACCCAAGTGATTGGGCCACCTTCCACTGCCTTTCAAGGTGTATTAGTAGGGAGCTGAATTGAAAGTGGATGCAAACTGTTGAAATCTTTACTTAGTATACACCAAGTTGATCTTCTGTATATAAAGATAATTGAAAATGAATCTTAATGAAGAATGGGATGGGAGAGGGAGTGGGAGATGGGATGGTTATGGTGGGAGGGAGGTTAGCGGGGGAAAGCCACTATAATCTAAAAGTTGTGCTTTTGAAATTTATATTTATTAAATAAAAGTTTTTAAAAAAATTTTTAAAATGGCTTGTAAAAAGAAAAAAGAAAGTGGAGCAGCCGGGATTCAAACTAGCACTTGTATGGCATGCCAGCAGTGCAGGAGGTGGTTTAACCCACTGTGTCACAATGTGCACCCACCATATTATCTTAAAAATTAACACACATGATTCATACAAGGCAAATTTTGTCAACCTATTACTTGACACAGCACTACCCTACCGGCCAAAACTGTAAACTCTCAGTATTATTATCTTTACTAGTCAGAGATGATGTGACTTGACCCATTATTGGGGTAGAACACATGACACACTCCCTTATCCCCACCATAAAAGATGTTTAAACACTACCTTGGAAGCCAATATCTACTAACCTCAAAGAGTGGAAAAATATTAGTATTTTCACTTGAAAAATGATGTGACATAGTGGTTACAAACTAGGATGATCATGCACCCAGGTCTGCATGTGATGATTTTTTTTAAGATTTATTTATTTGAAAGTCAGAGTTACATACAGAAGGAGAGGCAGAGAGAGAGAGAGAGAGAAAGTGTCTTCCATTTGCTAGATCACACCCCATTGGCCGCAACAGCCAGACTTGGGCCAATCTGAAAGCAGGAGCCAGGAGCTTTTCTGGGTCTCCCACAAGGATGCAGGGGCCCAAGGCGTTGGGCCATCTTCTACTGCTTTCCCAGGCCATAGCAGAGAGCTGGATCAGAAGTGGAGCAGCTGGGACTAGAACCAGCACCTATATGGGATTCTGGCACTGCAGGCGGCGGCTTTACCTGCTACGCCACAGCGCAGGCCCCACTGCATGTGATGATTCTAATTCATGCCTTTTGTTTGTTTGTTTCTTTTGCTTAGCATCCTGTTTAATTTTTATTTCATTTCATACTCTATTATTTCAAATGAAGTATTAATAGTTGCATGAAACTATTGCATAGTCTAGCCTAGAATGGATTTGTTAGTTTTCAATTTTGCATTTCTAGCTCCTGACATGGTCTTGTCTAATAGTGTTTGAGGTACTATTTTGGCAGTGTCTGGGTATATATCCAATTATACCCAATAATGGGATTGCTGGATCACATGAATGTTTTATTTCTAGAATTTTGAGGAATCTCCAGTTTTTCATAATGGCTGTACTAATTTCCATTCCAACCACCAATGTACAAGGGTTCTCTTTTCTCTGCATCTTCATGGGCATTTGTAAAGTTTTGTCTTTTTGAGGTGAGAAAATCTCATTGTTTTGATTTGCATTCCCTGATGATTAGTGATGTTGAGCATTTTTTTATGTATTTGTTGCCATTTGCATATCCTCTTGAGAAATGTCTAAGCAGGTCATCTGTCCACTTTTAAATCAGATTATTCATTTTCTTGATGTTTACGTGAATGAGTTCCTTATATATTCTGGAAACTAATCTCTTATCAGATGAATAAAAGGTGCTTTTAGACTAGAAAAGTCCATGGATATCAAAGTTTTTCAATGATTTGTATTTCAGAAGCAATTTCAGAATTCTGAATATATATACACACAAACAGACTATGTATCAAAGGGTTACAACAACAACAGAATCTCTGTTTTCTAAGTTATTTCCATCTTTGGTTCAGTAGCACAATGTGGACATTTTATGTGCAAGAGGTTTTATTTTTTTTCCATTATATAACTAGAAATAATTATTACATTGAACAGGAATCCTGGGAAGTTCAGCCGGTGGCAAGGTTGGAAACACTTCCACTAAAATAAATACACAAGGTTTCTGGTGCTTATTTAATAGCCTTTACTTAGTTATTATGAAGAAACTCAATAATTTAAAAAAATTCCATGGGGCCGGCACTGTGGCGCAGTGGGTTAACGTCCTGGCCTACAGTGCCGGCATCCCATATGGGCGCCGGTTCGAGACCCAGCTGCTCCACTTCCAATCCAGTTCTCTGCTGTGGCCTGGGAAAGCAGAAGGTGGCCCAAATCCTTGGGCCCCTGCACCCACGTGGGAGACCCAAAAGAAGCTCCTGGCTCCTGGCTTCAGATCAGCACAGCTCCGCCCATTGCAGCCAATTGGGGAGTGAACCAACAAATGGAAGACCTCTCTCTCTGCCTCTCCTCTCTCTGTGTAACTCTGACTTTCAAATAAATAAATAAATCTTTTTAAAAAATAAAAATATTCCAAAAATCATAAAATCCTATTCATTTCTCACACTTTCAGAAAAATTTAGGTCAAACCTCTCTGAAAACATTGTGAAACTTTGGGCTGCTACAAATGGCATCAAGGGGATAGTATGTGTCGAATCTAGTCTCTTGACAGGGTTCAGAGACTGGATTTTGTGAATGAAAATTGCCACTTAAAAATATTCTTTACTCATTTAGATGTATTTAGAGATGTCCTTACAGTTTCTCCTCCCTATGATAAATGTTTGGTATGATGGCTTCCTCCAAAACATACAGAAGACAATGATATTACATTTATTCATTTATTTACATTTACTGAACCAATAAGACATGAGAAGGACTCCTGTGGTGTGCTTTCGTGGCCTTATTATTTATAATCCATATTTGTATAGCCCAAGATATGGCATGATAGTAATCAAATGCTTATTATTTTTTTTCCTTCTCCAGGAATCAGTTCACAGTAGAGTAAGTATATGGAAACAAAACAAATTTAAGTATAGTTTTGAAACACAGGGAAAAAATGTATGGATTTTTAATATATCTGTTGCCTAATACACTTAAAATCTCTTTATTCTTCTTGAGTCTGGTTTTATAAAGCAAAATCTCTACTACTACAAACCCGTGCATGGTTGGTTATAATGATTTAGGCACATTTATAGAATCTGAGGATTTTTTTTTTTTAATTTTTGACAGGCAGAGTTAGACAGTGAGAGAGAGACAGAGAGAAAGGTCTTCCTTTTTCTGTTAGTTCACCCCCGAAATGGCCGCTATGGCCAACGCACTGTGCCGATCTGAAGCTAGGAGCCAGGTGCTTCCTCCCAGTCTCCCATGCGGGTGCAGGGAACCAAGCACTTGGGCCATCCTCCACTGCCTTCCCGGGCCACAGCAGAAAGCTGGACTGGAAGAGGAGCAACTGGGACTAGAACCCAGGGTGCTGGCGCCACAGGCAGAAGATTAGTCTCGTGAGCCACGGCGCCGGCCTGAGGATTTCTAATAATGGCAAGGGGAACCTGCTCTGACTTGAAACACTAGTTTTATGTGCATTGGAATTTCTACCTCTGGCAGGGTTTTATCTTGAAATACCTCAAACTTTGTAGGGCTGGCATTTCTGTAGAGGAGGAAGAAAATGGGCATCACACAGACACACATCATTGAAAATGCACCCTATCACAACAGTACCTCTCTGGCACAACATATGGCAACAGAATTACCTTGGTACTACCCAACTGAGGAATATAATTTATCCAGTCGGGGAAACTGTTGTGATGGGTAATACATTCAACGCTGCACATGCTCCATATTGAAACACGCAGGCTAGACGTTCACAAGACTTTACCCTTAACAATGAAGCTCTGTTGTTGTTACCATTTACAGATAAATCAATAAGGCTTTCATTTTATGGCAAAAATATTTTGTTCTACCATCCCAAATGACTTACTAAAGACCAGAATAGCATTGTATCCGAGGGAGAGTCACTGGGCAGAGTCTCAGGTCTGTTAACTGAAAGCAGCTGAGATTTGTAGATAACCTATTTCATTATCGGTATGATTAAGAATTCTACCTCTATTCTTTTAATGTTGGGGTGGCAGAGAAGGATTAACCGCATCTGACTCTGGAGATGATTAGAGCAAGGTCTGAAACGTAAGCAAGACTCATCAGAGGCACTTAAAATAGGTCATTAGATTTTATAGTAATTTTCCTGGAAAAGTATGCAATTTTCCTGGAAAGCTATACCATCTCCCTAAATTATCATATATAGTCATTGATTTAATGCATTTAAAATTTGTCTATGTTACAGTTCATATTTAAGGGAACTACCTATCTAGTATCTAGCCAATTTATCACTTGACCTAATAAAATCCTAGTCTTTTCCTTCCAGGTACTTTCAAAATCATACAATATTTTATCAGGAAAAATAACTTTTATATTATGTTCTGAGATCATGTATACCCATAATAGCTAACTTTACAGTCTCTTGGTACCACAAAATCCAGATATATTTGGCTCGATCATTAAAAGGATTTTACTTAAAATTCTTTTGTAATATTTTTACAAGCAAAAATCTCATGGGTATTTTATAAACTGTGCTGTTTTCACAGTGTAGATTTTATTGATAAAGTGCCCTGACTTAGTCGTAAAGCTTGTTCTCGTTGTATTTTTCTATTTTTTTTTTGTATTGTTGTATCCTCACACACACACACTTGGCATCAAACACATGACTATTGCTTCGTGTAACAGATTTTACTTGACATGTACCAGGCAAAGAGGAGGATGTCAAAGAATTTCTATCACCATCTTAGATATTTCTATTAACAGCATACTTTATAGTTGAGCATTGCTATTCCAATTTAATAAAAAATTTGCTGAACTGTTACATTCTTATTAGTATTCTTCACTTTTTATATGCATATTGTACAAAACAACGATTAGCTGGTAAAAATTTAGGTAACTGGGGATATATTTTTAAGAGCAAAACCTTCGAAATTTATGTTATGGAGTTAGCAATTAATGTTCATATAAGTACTTTATATTTAGTTTGCCATAGCATGCACCAAGAGCAGGGTTTTTTGTTATCACCTATAGAAATTATTACTGATTTCAATAGTTTGAGTCAAACTGTACAGTATCTCTTCAAAAGCTAAGAATTTCAAGATTTTAAAGCTATCTTTATTATAGTAAGGAAGGAATTTCAGCATTTCAAAGGGATTGTAATAACAATAATAAATAGCAATTTTTAATGTTATATAGCAAACCAAAGCATTCATTAATCTTGGGTCAGGATTTTCATATAAAAGACCTGTTATGTAACAATTATCCTATAAAAACAAATTTTGTTAACCATTAGTATAATAAGGAATTGTAGCTGTAATATATACAATATCTGGTAGGAAAACAATGGCCACCTATTATTATCTTTTAGAACTGAAAAATTTAAAGGCCCACATAAGACAATTATCACTGAGCTAGTAAAAATTGCTAAAACAAAAACTTAATGAAAATGTAAAAATTGGTCCAAATTGGGGAGATATTCTAAAACATTTATAATATTTCCAATTTGTGTTTTATTGGAAGCATTAAGTCACTTTGATTGGATTTATGGCCTATCCAGCCTGGCATCATCCCAATTCAAGTGGTAGCAAAACCATACCATAAAAGGCCTTGTTTCACCTTGTGGATTTTATCTTTAGTGATTTATTCCAGTGAATTTTACCTTTTCTTTGAAATTTACTTTGGCTTAGTTATTTTGATATTTTTTTAAGTCTTACACATTTCAATGTGTACCGTATCATGAGGTTCCAAAAACACAATCTTTTATAATTACTTAAATGATCAAATACAATGGTATTCCCTTTCTTCTTTTCTAAAGACTTATTTATCTGAAAGGCAGAGTGACACAGAGAGAGGGAGAGAAACAGGGATCTTCAGTCCACTGGCTGACTCCTCAAATGGCTGCAATGGCCAGGGCTGGACCAGGCCAAAGTCAGGAGCCTGAAACTATACCTGGGTCACTTATGTGGGTGACAGGGATCCAAGGACTTGGGACATCTTCCTCTGCTTTTTCAGGTGCATTAGCAAGAAGCTGGTTGGGAAGCAGAACAGCTAGGACTGTAACTGGCTGGTGCTCACATGGGATGCCAGTGTTGCATGTGGTGGCTTAATCCTCTGTGCCACAATGCTGGCCCTAATTGTATTTCTTTTTATGTGAAAAATCACATTCTTTAATCTACCTTCAGTTTACATTTTTACCTGCTTCAAAGGATATGAACTCTAATAATCTGGGAAATGCTGATGAACTACATGTTACCTCGCTCTGACTGTCCTTATTATACCATAATGAACAAAGAAAGACAAAAGGTCTCAGATTTTTTAGCAATGAACATGTAACAAAAAAAATTTTTCAAAATGAATAGTAATAAAATTGTCTAAATCCTTGCTATATTATAGATAAGAGAGTTGGGAAATAATTGAAAATCAAAAACAGATACCTTAAGTATCTAAAGGAAACTTACTGGAATGACTTTTTCATGGTACACGAAGTGTGCCCTTGCTGGCTGATGAGACTAGTAGATAGATTAAATAGTATATTCTTTATATTAGTCTTCATTGAATAAAATATCCAGGAGACTCCAAGCCCCATGTTGTCCTTCCAAAGATGGAATATATATATTATAGCATGTTATAAGAAATGTACAAGGTATTCTAGGCCTCATAAATAAATTCCTGATATTCCAAGCTATACTCTCGAGATATATGAAAAAGCACAAGAGTGCTTATTCTTTACAACTAAATTGTTTATAAATGTGCTACTATTCTTGAGGATTAACACATAGATATGATATCTCTAAACATAATTTTAATAAGCAATTCTTAGGGCATATATTGATGTGTCCCAGTGCCATACCACTTCAGAGAGAGAAATCACTGAACCGGGCAACTTCATTCATAACTAATAATGACTTATTCTTTGTTAGAGTCATCTCATGAATTTCTCATTCATCCTAAATCTCTGTACGTTATACTTCCCTCATTCCAAAGACATCAACAGAAATGTACCTTTCTCAATAAAATAACCCTGCCAAGTTGTTTTCTCATGCTATCTTAACCTTTCCACTTCTACAAGACCATATACTCTTTGTCAGGCTTTAGGTAGTTCTTCAACCCAAAACATAATTGGTTGTTAGGTTGCTAAAATGTAGTTTTCTTAGAAAATTGTCCCCATTTCTCTCCACTGAGTGAAGTAGACTAAAGATTTCTAAGCTTTTCTCCCAGAAAAGAACAGGCATAGTAAAGTTGCAAATTCATAGTGGTGAAAGCCTGTAGGAATGATAAACACAAGTTATCTTTTTATATAAAAATAAAAGGAAAACATTTGACAAAAATGACCACAATAAAAGTTCTTTCACATACAGTCTTAATTTAACTAAAACCTGCTTCTTCTCCATGTTTGTAGTGCAGGAAAACCAAATTGCTATATCCACTACATTTGCACATAATGCAGTTAAAAGTAGAACACAGCTACATCCCACAATACACCATTAAACAGTACATGATGGAAATGGAGAAAACCCACAGTCATCCCCACACGTTATCCTCAGAACAGGTTCTACAATAATCTTTATAATAACCCAACTTGGACTCAGCCTACAGAGACAATTTAGAAGAGGGTGAATAAGAAGCAACTTCGTTTTTCAGACTCCAGTACTAACATTGCATTTTCAACTGAACTAGAGAAAAGCCTGCTCCCAACACTTGTCAGATATAGGAATCACAGAAAATAATAAGAGTCCGGCAACCTTCATTTCCTTAAAAAAGAGCCTCCAATGCTCCCATATGCAAAAAAAAAAAAAAAAAAAGGCCTTATCTAGGCTATGTAAGAAATAGTTTGTAAAAAATAGTTTCCTTGAGTCTTTAAGGGGCCCACATCAGTAAGGTTACAATGAATGCTACTGTCTTTTTAGCTTCTAAATCCTCCCTAATCCGCACCTACCTTAAAAACCTGAACTCATTTTCACTTTAGTCTCTCTCACGAATAGCAGTTTGGTATGGTGGACCTCGTTTCCTTCCTGGTTACATGAAAACTTATACAGAGCAATAACCTGACTATTGCTCTGAAATGCTTAAAGAAGATATGGTATCTTGGATTGAGAAGTGTCAGTCAGTAGATAGCAATGTAAAAAAAAAAAAAAAAGATTGGGCCTAGAAGTAGAGATCAAACACAACCTATTTCATTTGAAGGCAGGAGGATGAAATGAGGCTAAGAGTCTGGTTTAATTACAAGCTACATATTCCTCAGGTTTTAACTCTCTAAAATCAGAAAGCTAAATTACAGCTTTCTGGAGAAATATCTATCTGTTCCCATTGAAAATACTCCTGTGCTGAGGCTGTAGGAAAAGTTGCCTTTATAAGACAAGATTATTTTCACGTGGGAGCTTCCCGTAGCTTTCCGCATTCCCAGCTCCGCTCCTATGAATCTAAACGTTTTAAAAGAAAAAAGAAAATGTATTAGAAAGGTCAAAACAAAACGAGTTTACTTTCTTTTTTGCTAACATGTTATAGATTCATTCCTTTTTTTTTTTTTTCTTTTCAAATTATCTCCCTCTGGTTTCTTCAGGGAATTTTGTCAGTTTTCTGCTTTTTAGATTTTATTATGATTATCTTCTTCATCTGATGTAGATGATTAAAACCAAACCAACGAAAAGTATTCTCTAAACCAAGTAAGCAACAACCAACAGCAGAAAAATACCTTTTGGAATGTTTTTTTCTTTACTGAAAACTTCTCACTGGTTCACTCAAAAAAAGTTCAGCCTATGTGACAAATGTGGGTGAATTCACTATACTTTGGCTGTCATGTGTAGTCCCCTGCAGAGATTAACTACTCCTTAAAACAGTCAAACTGTAAAAAGAGCAACACAATTGAAATTTTACAAAAACTCAAACTTTAAAATGAGGCCAGTGCTGGTAACACCTGTCTTTTATAGCGCCTTTCCTTGCCATCATTGATGCTAATAAGGAAACTTACAGGGAGAGAGAGAAAAGATGACTCATTTGGTATCTGTAATACTGCCGGCACAGGCACAAAGAAATTTGGCCAGGTAAGCCAAACAAACAAACAAACAAACAAAAACCATTATTTTCTCCAGTCTCAGCATGGTGTCTAATTTCAGAGTATTAGCCTGACTGAAGAATTTAAACCTAGGAGGAAGGAGAACAAATAAAGATCTTCGCTACAGTGTTAATCACGATGGTTAGTGTCTTCTATCTGGAAAGAATGAAACATCTAATAGAGTCTCAATAGTTAGCAACAGTTCTCACAGACCCCCTGGAAGATATCTCTGTAAAAGGTAGACACACAAAACAGTGGCGGCGCACACAAAAAAGTGCCTACCACACAGACAGACGAAGGAACGATACTTAGATTTTTCCAGGACATGGACAATTATGGATTATTGTTTTGCGCTTTCTGTAGCTCCAGTTCAGCAGCCTTCCGCACGGCTACATCAACCAGGATCAGGAAGCTGCTGAAGTCCTCGTACTCCTCTGGTGGCATCAGTTCTGGAGAAGACAAAGACTCACTGGTGGAAATCTCGAACTTTTTCTCCGCAGGGACTTCCAGGGTGAACCTCCTGCGTGGAGCCAACTCTGGATTCGGTAGCTTCGCTTCCGATTCCTGGCCCTCTGGCAAGGAGCTCAGAGATAGGTCTTGTATCTTGTTTGGATTTTGGGGCCCCAACGTGGCTTGCACGAGTGGATCAGTGCTCAGCTGATACACTATATCGGTGGCCTTGCCTGTTTGGCATTTGGGATCGTTTCCCTCCACTACGAGCATTTTCGGAAGAATGCGTCTGCGAGCATTAATAAACCAGTTTGAGATCTGTTGTAAAGACAAATTGGTTTGCCCCGACAGCATTTGTTTCTCGGCTTCTGAGGGATGTGCATCAAACCTGTGATCATAGAGCCAGTGGCGGAGGATTCTCACAGACTTTGCGGGCAGGTACCCTTTACCCTTCCTCTTGTTTCTCCAAGACATGGAAGGGTCTTGAGCTGGGCATCCGGTCTTCTCCGGCTTCTCAGCAGCTTCCATGTTCCTCAGATCTGTCTTTATGGTCTTGGGATCTACGGTTAACCAAGGCAGCAGTAACTTAGGTTTGCCAGAGCATGGAAAGGCAAGGGAAGGTGCCCGCGGTCAAGTCTCACCTGTAGCTCTCAGGCAAACGCCTACGCAAGCCGTGCAACAGTTGGGCAACAGGGCTTTGTGACGTCACATCCTCTCTCCCCACTTCCTGTTTCCTGGTTCCCTGCTGAATTATTTTTCCTTCCCTATTACACACGGGGTGGATAGCTCTCCAGAGTTTCAGTTCTCTGCTGCTATCACTATTTTGCACTACCTGACAAGATTAGTGGAAAGGCGCCCTCTTTTTCTTCCTATATGATTTCATCAGTTTTGTTCCTCCACCTTATTCCTTTTAATTTTCTCACTGACTCAAGTATGTGTATAGGAAGTAACTTATCAATTAGATATTAATCTCAATAAAACTGTAAGTGGGTACCCAGACGTCATCTTTTCACGTACAAACCAATCTTAAGAATAATTTTAACTAGATCTTCACTTTGACTTTCTGATGCTCGACTTTGCTTCTCTGTGGCCTTGAAATCTTTGGCTTTGGTATAATTTCACTGTGGCATTTGTGTTTCTGCTAGCCAGTTGTAAAGGTCTCTGGGACGCTTTCGTTAGAAATTCAGGGGTCTTTTAGAGATGTGTAAGAGGATAGGATTCAAGAAATAATACTGATCATGGAATTACTTTACTTAAATGTTTCCTGATATTTCAAGTACCATGAAATCATCCCCTAAGAGATGAAAATAATTTGTACATTATAAGTTTCTGTTTATGATAGTTGAAAAACAAGAGTTGGCTCCTTTAAGAACATTATGACCCACTTAGAGGACAATCATCAGCATCGACTGAGTCCTCAAGGACAATGTACAGTTTTATTAATTTCAATGATTTTCTAGATCAAACTCCTGGCCATCACCTTAAATATCATGTATTTGCTACAGTTTCTTTTTGGCAAGGAAAAGTCTTTTTGCTTTTAAGAGCTCTTACTTGGCATCACTTGGGTGGATATCAGAATATTGTCTGCTGATCCTTTGGCTGTTAGTCACCTTACTGGTGCTTACTTTCATCTCAAAGTTTATTGCAAGTGAGGCCTATGGAGGAACACAGCTGAAACTAATGGATGCCTTAGCAAAGCTTTCAACAATCACTAAGTGCACATGTTGGCTACAATGGAAGGTCTCCTTTGCAATGCTCTGAAAGACAGTGCTAATATTCCTTTTTTTTTTTTTTCAGCATGAGGGAGAGGGCTTATGAAAAACAAAGGCTAAAATTTTCCATACGTAGTGAAAACTGACTTCATGAACCCCTTTCCCAGCAAATCATTTATGCCCATGATCACTGAAACTATTGCAGTCTGTCACTATAACTCTATTCCTTCATTTTTAATGTAAAGCACTATGGGAATCTCATTGAAAATAATTAGTTTGGTACATTTATATTCATTTCCTTACCTCTGACTCTGAAAACTGCCTTCTCATGAGTCTGTTATGAATGCTTATGACATTATACTATATTATGTGCCTTATTTCTCCAATTAAGGTATTTTATATTATATTGCTTATTTCTGGTATTCTTCTTGTAATTTTAAACAGATTTGAGTAGATCATAGTCTAAATTATGTTTCCTAGTTGCAGTGTTAAAAAAAAGGCTAACATTTTGACTTTCAGGAAATTGGATAGTGTAAAGCCAAATAAAAAAGCAAAAACAAAAGCAAACTTTCTCCAAAGCATGGTGACATGAAAGAATCGAAAATCAATGGGGTGGTAGCTTAATTTCACCAACTCTAAAAATGAAGAATGCTATCAAAACCATACGATTTTTTGACTATAAAATAGCTGGATAAGTTCATCAAGAAATATATTGAATATATATATATATATATTTTTTGGGGGGACTGGCGCTGTGACGTAGCAGGTAAAGCTGCCACTTACAGCATCGGAATCCCATATGGGTACTGGTTCAAGTCCCAACAGCTGCTCCTCCTTCGATCCAGCTCTCTGTTGTGGCCTGTGAAAGCAGTGTAAGATGGCCCAAGTCCTTGGGCCCCTGCATCCATGTGGGAGACCTGGAAGAAGCTCCTGACTCCTCGCTCCAGATCAGCCGAACTCTGGCCGTTGTGGCCATTTGGGGAGTGAACCAGCAAATGGGAGACCTTTCTCTCTGTGTCTCCCTCTCTCTGTCTGTAACATTACCTCTCAAATAAGTAAATAAATAAATCTTTTTTATAAAAGGTTAAAAACCTTTTATAAAAAAGGTTAAAAAATTTATTTATTTATTTGAAAGGCAGAGTTACAGAGAGACAGGAAGAGACAGACAGAGAGAGAGAGAGAGAGATAGAATCTTCTATCTGGTGGTTCACTCTCCATATGACCACAACAGTCAGGGCTGCACCAGGCCAAAGTCAGGAACCAGGAGTTTCTTCTGGGTCTCCCACATGGGTGCTGGGTATCCAGAACTTGCGCCATCTGCAGCTGCTTTTCCCAGGCCATTAGCAGGGATCTGGATAGGAAGCGGAGCAGTTGGGACTGGAAATGCACCCATATGGAATGCTGGCATCTCAGGTTAAGGCTTAACCTGCTTGGCCATAAGGCAAGCCCCAGCCAGATGTTTTGTACTTTGAACAAATTGAAGGAATGTTCAGGAAGCCAGCACTAATCTGTCTTCTTGGAAGTTGTGCCACGTTAATAGGAGAAAATGAGGGGAATTTTGAATAAATCCTAATATAGAGAAAATGGTAGGTGTGGCTTGTCAATACAAAAAGGAGTCTTGTGATGTCCTAGAGCATGAGTTGAAGAATTGGAAATTTTGTATAATTTACAAATTATATATATATACACATATATGTATATCTAGTATATATATGTGTCTGTGTATATATGTATACATATTTGGAAAAATGGACCTTTATCTCTCTCTCTGCCTCTCCTCTGTGTAACTCTGACTTTGAAATAAATAAATAAACCTTAAAAAAAGAATTTCTATATATCAGAAACAATAGGAAACATCTTTAAGGCTAGTGCCGTGGCTCAATAGGTTAATCCTCCGCCTGCGGCGCCAGCACACCAAGTTCTAGTCCCAGTCGGGGCACCGAATTCTGTCCTGGTTGCCCCTCTTCCAGGCCCGGGAGTGCAGTGGAGGATGGCCTAAGTGCTTGGGCTCTGCACCCGCATGGGAGACCAGTAGAAGCACCTGGCTCCTGGCTTTGGATTAGCACGGTGCACCGGCCACAGTGCGCTGGCCGCAGCGGCCATTGGAGGGTGAACCAATGGTAAAGGGAGACCTTTCTCTCTGTCTCTCTCACTGTCCACTCTGCCTGTCAAAAAAAAAAAAATGGACCATTACATGGAAAAAAAATAAGACAATATCACATGGAATCATCCCCCAATAAGACTTATGAAACTTACAGCCACATCATTATCTTCAGTTTCAGGAACAAATGATTCCCTTTGTATTTAAAGCATAGATGTAAAGATAATGTTTTCCAACTCTTGTATAAAACTGGCAGAACACTGATGTAAAAAATTCATAAAGTGTGACAAACCAAAGTGTTGGCTGATCCGAAGCCAGGAGCCAAGAGCTTCTTCCAGGTCTCCCATGTGTGTGCAAGGGCCCAAGGACTTGGGCCATCTTCTACTGCTTTCCCAGATGCATTAGCAGAGAGCTGGATTGGAAGTGGAACAGCTGGGACTCGATCTGGCACCCATATGGGAATGCCAGCACTGCAGGTGGCGCCTTTACCTGGCATGCCACAGAACTGGCCCCAAAAAGCATTTCTTGATAGAGGTTGAGTAATTATACTGAATTCAAAATCAATTTGTGATAAACATGTTATAGTGAAATAAATAAGAAAGGAACAATGTTTTCTTCATGGAACATGGATTCACAGGTAAATAAAATTTCCAATACCTTGCTTCATATTAAATAGTAAAATAAAAGTGATTCATTTAATTTCATTAGCAAGGCAAAGATATTTATTTTCACTACTGTGCCATTGCTTAGATACTGAATTAATTAAACAAAACTGTCAGTAATAATAAGAGGGTGGGCAATGTGGTACCATGGGCTAAACCATCACTTGGTACACTCACATTCCATATTGGAGTGCTGGCTGGAACCCTGGCTACTCCACTTAAATCCATTTCTCTGCTAATATGTCTGGAAGCAGCACACACACATGGGAAGCCCAGAAGGAATTCCTGGCTTTTGGCCTCAGCCTTGCCCAGCCCCAGCTGTTGCAACCATCTGGGGAGTAAACCGGTGGATGGAAAATCTCTCTCTTTCTCTTTTGAATACATTCATGAGTATTTTTAAAAAAGAAATAATAAGAGTTAAGTCAGGTGACGAGTTATAAAGAATATTTTTTAAAAAGGCTTATTTATGTCTTTATTTGAAAGGCAGTGTTATAGAGAGACAGAGACACAGAGAGATTTTTCCATCTACTGGTTGACTACCAAAATGGCAGCAATGCCCATGGGTGGGCCAGGCTGAAGCCAGGAACCAGTAGATTCATTGGGATCTCCTGTGTGGGTAGCATGGGTCCAAACCCTTGGGCCATCTTCCACTGCTTTCTCAGGCACATGAGCAGGGAGCTGGATCAGAAGTGTAGCAACTGGACAGGAACCAGTGCTCATATTGAATGCTGGCATCCACACGCTGGCCCCTAAATTTTAACATATACCAAAAATCATCATTTAGAAAATACATTGAGGAGGCCGTCGCTGTGGTGTAGCAGGTAAAGCATCTGCCTGAAGTGCCGGCATCCCATATGGGCACCAGTTCAGGTCCTGGCTGCTCCACTTCCAATCCAGCTCTCTGCTATGGCCTGGGAAAGCAGTAGAAGATGGCCCGTGTCTTTGGGCCCCTGTACCCATGTGGGAGATCCAGAAGAAGCTCCTGGCTTCAGATTGGCCCAACTCTGGCCACTGTAGCCATCTGGGTGGTGAACCAGCAGATAGAAGATCCCTTTCTCTCTCTCTCTGCCTCTGCCTCTCTGTAACTCTGCCTTTCAAATAAATAAATAAATCTATAAAAAAATAAAAAAAATACATTGAGAGAAATTATCTAGTTAATAATCATAGCAAGAATAAATATATAAAAGATGAGGACAAAAA